CGAATGGATGTAATACCACCACTTCACGCAGTGTAATTAGTCTTAAGTGTCTACAAAATATTCAAACTGCAAATTTGCCTCCTACCATCGCATAAGATAAACATATGGAGCAAATACCTTGCCAGGAATGCAAACAAATATAAGCTAACTTGATATCGCTCTTGCAAGAGCATGATATCACCTATGCGTGTATGTTCTGTGCCAAATAGTCACAGGTTTTCATTTGATGAGAAATATACTATTACAATTATGACTATTATTATTACCATTATTATTATTTTTACTGTTATTATTATCTTCATGCGATATATTGTTTCGACCAGAGGCAATACTAACCTGGAGCCTAAATGTGCCACTGGTACCATGCACCCTGGACCGATCACATATTGTGCGCTCGATACGTTACGTACGGACTGCTCGGACAAGCGCTGGAAATTTGGCACAGGGACATCGGCTACCGGCCGGGTCAGAATACGAACCAATGGTAACTCTTTCCGACAAAAGATCTGATAAAGGGGTGCTGATAGAGAATGTTCAAACACCTCATCCTAGGATGACCAGTTACAGTCACGAGTACTGTTGGTGACCCCTAGTACTGACACTCTCATCCATGTCTATCTTCCGTTAACACAAATGTGTCAACCTACTCTGGAGCACATCTGTCCCCATAGAAGCATACATCTAGCCCTGTGCTTATATCCAGGGAGTCTCATGGGATAATGTCCATTGCTCAGGGAGAGTGTCACTGATAGTGCATGCATGTAACCCCACAGGGAAAGAATGAATTGATTTGTGCGTGAACTTGAATGAACAACACGTTATTTTGATTTTTAAACAAGCAAACTTATTAGCAGCATGAGTGAAGTTGTCTATAAAATGGTATACCAGGAGAGGGTCACTGAGCTGAAGTGCGCGCTGTTGTAGATGCGGTATGCCAGGCCCGAAGTGCTGCCGAGGTATATGGCATGTGAATGACTCGTACACGAAGTTAAACAAACGAATTATGGACTCATTAGCTTCTGCAAGAGTTTAGGTATGTACGACAAGGATGCTTGGACGAGCGGGATAGAAACACATGTATTCAGCAACAGAACAGGAACAACAGTCTGCCAGTCATAAAGTACATACAAAATCTGCCCCGTTAAAGATAGACAAATGTGAAAAATATTAAACAGCTTAGGTCGTCGTGCATTTCCTCCATAGCAAATCAGCAAAAAAAAAATAAAACCGGCACTAAAATCAACGGCTAGCTTTAACGAACCAGCATGGTTCCAATTGCCTTACTGCGCAAATGTGTGAACAAGACTGGGTATGAAACACAGGAGCAGAAAGAATCAGGCTGAAACACCAGGACATATGACGTTGGCGACGAAACGCAATTCAGGGAGGGCTTGGCGAGGCATGAATTGTCCGATGTACTGCTTAACCCAACTGTTCTCACTAACACTGGAGTTAAACTGTGTACTCAAGGTCCTGGTCGACCGGGCATTGCTAACCCCAGTGCTACACAACTGTCTACGGCTAGCCTGCGAACAGCCCACTTCCGCATGCAAAACGAACACAGCGTTTTCTAGGCTGCTTTTTTGCATATGCAAAGCTGTTCATGTCATTTATGATCAAACTATTGGGATGCACGTGAGTGCTGCTGTCAGCCCTTTCCTAAAACACCTAGACACGGAGGACATATAGGAAATCCGCTTTCCTAGACCATGTTATCCAGCGATTGTTGCATATTTTGTAGAGGAGTAGTAGGGCATTTTAATGATATAGACAGCAATTCTTCACATCTAGACGAGGGGGCTACCCTGTCTTCACGGCAGTAACGTGCAAGTCAGTGGATAGTGAGCGGCGCTATATCACATCTAGTAACTTATTCACGATGACTGTTGCCGTCCCCCTAGCTCAATGGTCTCAGCCACGGACTGGCAACAGTCGACTTGCGGGTTCAAGCCCTAGCGGGGGCCCGATGGAATGCGCCCTGTTGACGGATCCCGAAAGGATGAAACGCGCATGCAGTGCTTTTCTGGGCGTGCGATGGCTGTCTTCGTGAGTCCAGATGTAATGCATTTCTACCTGTAACACATTTTCCAATTCAAATGGCGAGGCACACTGTCAGACAAGGGCGTGGTCCGTCAGAGTAGACCGCAAATAATGACCATTTTACCGTCGCTCGGTGATTTAGATAGCTTAGTCAAGCTTAGCGACCAGAATATCCAAATACTCACTTTGCGTTCAATAGGTTGCATGCGAAAAGAATATGCCTGGACGAAGAATGCACTCTTGGGACTCAAACAAGTTGATTTCGTTTTGAGGCAATACTGCTTTCAGATGATGGAAGAGCATAACGGACCGTACGCAGCATAAACACAATCACGTGGATGTTGTTCTTATCCCAGGATTGTGGCAAATTGCTAGTCATGAACACAGGTGCCGCTGCTTGCTAGAGCTTAGTCACAACAGCAATTTGAGAGGCCACCATCTCAAACTGGCAGAGCAGTACAGTCACTTGGAATGTCGTCGGAAGTTCGTTTCCGTACGCGTTTGCCGTAGGTAGAATGTCCTACCGGAATCCGTCATATGTGCTCCCATGCTGGCAGTGTATAAAGCCCGAGTTGACAGTGCACTGATTTCTCTGCACCAACTTACATGACTCATTACCCATGGATAAATAAAAGTGTCTGTAAGAGGTTTCAGTTGCGGTCAAATCACATATTTCGTTCCATTTTTACCTCCTGTGTGTGTATACCAGGAGACACGATTCTTACCAACATCCCATTTGCCGTCATTACTTACGGTTTTACCTTGGATTCACAGTCTGTACTACGTATATTTCAGTGCGTTCACTGGTGTAAACCCAACATTTTTAACATTTTGAAGTTTCACCATAACCATCCTACGGGATCTGTTAAGCATCAGCTTTTTTACCCGTATAAAACCATTGTCCCATTGTTGTCGGTAACTACTAAGAGCTGCTAAATATGCACCTGACTGTGTCTCATTCGACTGCACTGTGTGCGTGTGTGTGTGTGTGTGTGTGTTGTCAACGCGGTTATAACGATCTGACATCGAGTAACGTGAGTGCAAGCTTATGAGCATCTGATAGACGCTCATTGATACTTGCCTACTTCCAAATGGCTGTAAATAAGGAATCCAGTGGTCATCAACATCAGGTACGATACAACATTCATAGTTAGTGACAAACATCGATTATCCACTTTCGTAAGACTACAGCGTAAGAAGTCCAACTAGCTGCAGTGTACAAGTAATTCGCCACTTCCATGTGGTGCGAGGTAATATAAATGTGCTAACTGACCCAGTACCAAAGGCTCAACAGCTACTCAAATTTTTCCACTAAGAAAATGTGTGAAGGACGCCGAATTTGCCTATCATCGCTTGCAATTTTCGGCCGTTGTATTGGGTGTGTGCAGTATACAAGTCAACAGGTGCACAAGGACACGGTAATACGTTAAAATGGACAGGATACGCGAGTTCGTTAAAAGATGGGCACAGAGTGGAACAGTGTACAAGCCAGTAAAGACTCAATGCTTTGAAATATTAAATTTACTGTACTTCCAAATAAGAATATCCGAAGGAGCAAGTCGTGTGATGAGGCTGTTAATTTGTACCTTCTCATCAGTTATGTACATGCAGCTATTGATTTATTAGTTTCAGGTAGCCGCCAATTAACAAATCTGGTTGCATCCGGTCTTGTAAATGTCCCTGTGACTAGTGCCTTAATATGACGTAGAAAACTGCATCTTGTCTTTACTGCACTCGAGCAAAAGAACCAAGTTCAGGAAGCACCCGCAGGAGAAGAGCAGTTTCGCGTAACCAGCTTTTTACTCATAAGCGGATCCAACTTCAGTGGGCATGATAATACTGTGCTCTATCAAGTAGCAATGAGCGAGTTAATTTAGAGATTGTATCTCCCCTCCAAGTGAACGGTACAAGCAGTCAGTCCGTAAGCATGATGACAGCGTCTATGTTGGAGGGAAGGGAAGTCAATCGGTATGTTGTTCATCCAACAAACAATTTTTGTTGGTTAACCAAGGGGGGTGGATCAGCTTGGCTGATATGCTCAAACGTGACAAACGACGCATGATTGAACCCCTAAACCATTAGGCGTCGTGAGTATAAAAACTTGTTAGACGGTCATCTAGCTGATGATAGGATCTGAGCTCGCGTTGTGCGTGCATTTGTCAGTGACCAATGGAAGTTGATAAGACAGAATGGTTTCAGCTGATTCACTAACCACTGTCGTTTTCAACTTGAATAGTCCCCAGCCCAAAGGGCAAACACGTGGCATCAAGTACCCTGAGTCAGACACGCGTTTCAATGCTAAGAAGTGAACCACACCAATGGAAGTTCAAATTTCATGTACAGTTTCACACCCAATTGCACCTGGTGTACACCGGAAGAAAGTGTTGCTGCATGCTTGTCGGTTGCGCCTTAGCGAAATGTCAGGTTTGTTTGCGCACGATGCGAATGCGTAACAGAAGCCAACAAGTCCGGTTCGACCAAATCGACTGTTGGCTTTAAGAAAATGCCAATCGGTTGTTTGTGCTCCTGGCGCTGCTGTTCTAGGATTGCTCCGGAATCACTTCAAACTCAACCAAGACATTCAGGAGGGAATATTTTGCAATTATAGTTGAACGTCGGAATATTGTCAATAAAACTTTTTCCTTAGATGCTGAGTAAATTGAATTTATTGCCTGGTGGAGAAGATAAAGGCCAACCATTCGAGCAAACCACTGGGGCTTGAAAGCCTAAACTGCTGGATGTCGGGTTGCAGTCAGCACAGTGAATCATGGTTGGCAAAAATATTGAAACTTTTATTCCGAAGGAATGAACAAGGATGTAAGTATCATATTGAGTTTTGTGAATAGTGGCATGACCATGATGGAAATCCAAAAGTATGAACTTTCGATGGTGCGCTGACCCCGGTGCAAATTGGAAGGGGAATACGGTCATAGTAAACTATGCGACGAAACTAGCACACACTACTCTTGCATTCTTCGTGCGTACACTGTCGCATTTGGTCCACCGGTCTGTCCGAACTCTCGACGACAGTTCCGTATACACATCTTGCGGTGCCCATGGAGTCCCTGGCCACGCCGGCGGGGGCAGCGGACGCGACACTCGCATTTGATAAGGAATTGAGTTTGTTTGGCTGTGTGCAAAGTAAAGTCTGTTAGAGTGATGGCACAATGAAAGCAACTTCGTGCAAAAACGGCTGTGATGAAAAACACATAGAAGTGAGATGAACGTCCAGTCAAATCGGTTTTCAACTATCAAACCTGAACTATCATTTTAGGATCTAACACCGATGCGCTGGTCAACTAAGTTACCAACGGCAAAATCTGCATAGTCACATTCCAAAATTCTACCATCTATCTGCGGTGCGGTCCATGTGGTACAGTACTGCTTCGTCCCTTACGGTTGCCATTCCGAAAATATATCTACGAAGCGTTGCGGACAAAACCGGCAACCTTCCTCAGTTCAAAATGAAAGAAAACGATTACTTGATCAACCCATCAGGTGCCAATCAAACAAGAGGTCACTGAGGCAAATGGAAACCGAATGGTAATCCTTAACGAGAAATCAAAGGAGTTAAAGAGCACTGAGAAGCCCCTACTCTGTAAGTTTTCACCAAGGATGTCACTCAGTCTGGTGACGAAACGTTGGCAACTAAAACACCCAACTCGCATAACAACCAAAGACTTACATCCGCGCCCCCAGCTACAAGTACTTTCAATATATGTCATATCAGTTACTCTACAGGTAAAAGTCCTTACTTGGATGCGCTTGGTAGATTAGCAATATGAGTCACAATACCACAAACTACATCTAAGACTGGAATCTTGGCCAACAACGTGGTCTAGTGGCAAAAACCTGCGAATACAATGGACGTGGAGAACAGACTGTGGAGACCCCAGCACTGTGTCTAGGCCCGAAGCAGCTACCTCATGCATTACAGAGAAACATGTAATGAGCTGAATGTTGAACAGATGTGTTTTCCTCACTCTAACAATGCTTATAACCGTCCGGATACAGTTCCAACTGACCGAGAGCGCCTCATTTATGCCATCGTCGAGCTAAGCAGCGAACCGATGAGGGAGAAGCAAACCAATGTATTGCAGGTTTTCGGGTGGTTAAAACTTGTTGTACCGCTGCTTTCCCTCTGTTCTCTGCCTCTGACAACCCAGTCGGGGACAAAATAGAACACCGAAACTTGCTAGATCGCAATATATTAGACACAGAACACGGTACATTTTATAGCTCCCAATCTATCAGCTCCTGTAATAAGTTCCTGAGTTGGCTCAATCCACTTGCCCTGGAGAAATTTCGAACCTGTTAGCGGTCCACCCTGTCAGGTAGCAACCTGTTTCATGCTAACGGTCTGATTTCTTCAGCTTCCCGCGTGACTTATCCGTGGTACCGCAGGTCTAGTTGCAACCCGTGTGATGATGACGAAATTATTTCATCAGCTTCTGGCGTGACGCAGCCCTGCTACCACCGGTTGGGTAGAAATGCGTATCCCGATCATAAGCGTCTCGAAACCGTGTCACGTTCTTATCCTGCGGCCTCCGAGTGAAACTCGAATGCGAAGTCGGATAAACCAGTCACTCACTCTTCAGGCATGTTCAGTAGTTCCTCCATCGACTTGCTTGTAATCTTTAGCAACCTACGCAATCTTATGACCGATCGCGATGAACTGTACCTCTTCGTTGCTTTCGAGTGACCTGATGTAGTGTGATTCGCAGAAACGTGGTTGAACGATGAAGTACTTACTCAAGAACATGAGCTTAGTGGTTACTCTTGTTTCAACTATGATAAGCTATCGAATGCCCGTGGTGGTGTCTTGCTCTACATCCGGTCTCTGTGTAGGAAATCTGTGAATGCTCACCGACCAGAAGGTGGCCTATGTGAGCAATTGTGGTGCGCGATCCACATCAGGCGCGGTGAGCTGCTCATGGGTGAATTCTATCGCAGTCCACTGAGCTGTTGCTTGGATTGCTGCCTCATCTCCGGAACCACATGAATTGCCCACATATTCTTCAATTATAAGGAGTAGAACTCGCAAATGCCTGGCGATAAGGGATGCAGCATAGCGTGCCTACAAGATTAACCCCGACTCAGAGACTTGGGGAAATTTCCTGACCCATCGCAACCATTGCACTGCACTTGTCCGTGAGGACAAAGTAACCTATCAACAGTGCCTAGCCAAAAAGTTCATGGCAAACAACAAACTGCTGTATAAGCATGTCAATAAGCTTCGTAAAGTGAAGCATGGAATACCCCCACTTTTCACTACAGACGGTAGAGTACAAAGCGCCGAAGAAGCAGCTAATGCCCTGCGGCTGCAATACGCCCCAATTTTTGAACTCGCAACATCTACCTATCCCATAATATCAAGCTCATTACAGACTCCATTGTTTACAAATATATTTTCAACCCATCAATTGTGCTAAGGAAGTTACTCTCACTGCGTGAGCACAGTTCTCCAGGAGCAGACAACATCCGCCCGAAGGCACTGAAGGCTACGGCCACCAAGCTAGCTGAACCACTGTCACAGTTCTTTCAAAGGTGCCTTGATGAACAACAAGTCCCCACTATGTGGAAGTGTGGCATTATAACCCCTATTTTTAAAGGCGGTAGCCGTTCCGATCCTGCAAACTATTGTCCAGTGACTCTCCTCCCTGTGCTCGCGAAGGTGATGGAAGCAGCCGTCGCTGCGGGTTTAATGGACTACCTAGAAAAATGCAACATTTCGGTACCGGAACAGCATGGCTTCCGTCAACACCGGTCATGCACCACCAACCTACTTATTACACGAGGTAGTTGGACGGAAGTGGCCGATGATGGGGTCGGAGTCGACGTCATCTATCTGGACTTCTCCAAAGCTTCCGACCGCCTTGATCACCGCATCCTACTTCAAAGACTACAAAGTTACGGAATCGGAGATCCTGTACTTGGTTGGATTGGCAACTTCCTTTACCAACGAAAGCTTCAATTACGTGTTAGGGGATCACTTTCTAACCCAATTGAGGTGGAATGTGGTGTCCCGCAAGGCTCAGTGCTGGGACCGCGTTTATTCCTGGTGTTTATCAACGACCTGGCAAGAGTCATCTCCTCAAACTTCCTGCTTTTCACTGATAACGTCAAGATATGGCGGGCGATTAGTAACAAGGCAGATCAGGATCTGCTCCAACATGACCTAGATTGCATTTACGAATGGTCAAAGAGGAACAAGCTTCAATTGAACATGTCTAAATGCAAAGTGATGCATCTGCGTCACCAGCTGGTGAGCGCTTACAAGATTGGAGACCACACCTTGGCGAAGGTTTCTCAGGAGCGTGACCTGGGTGTATTGGTACAGGAAGATCTCGGGTGTTCCAAACAAGCAGAGAAGGCGAGGAGAACCGGAAATCAACCCTTCGGCCTTCTTCGCAGAGCCTTCGGTCGGTTTGAACCATCAATATTTCCCCAAATGCTTAACGCCTACGTGCGACCTCACGTGGAATATGCTATTCAGGCGTGGCAGCCGTGGCAGAAACAGGATCTCGTTGCTCTCGGGACTCCTCAACGACGGGCAACCAAGAACGTCAGGGGCCTCTTTCATCTGCCGTATCAGCTTAGACTGAAATCTCTAAGAATGTACAGTAGTCGATATCGGCTTTTGCGGGGGATCTCATAATGGTTTACCAGATTCTGAAGAACCCAAACCACATTTGCCGTCCGCTGCTGGAATTGAACCACAACACTAAACTAAGAGGTCACCCTCTGAAACTGACAATTCAGTATAGCCGGCTTGAATGCAGTAGAAATTTCTTTTCTCTCCGCGTGTGTGAGCCTTGGAATGCCCTCCCTAATTATGTCGTCTCTGCTCCCAAACTGGCGATATATAAAAAACGTGTTGACGATGCATTGTCTCACTTACATTTCATTTTATGACTTGTTAGCCAGGAGCTGCAAAACGCAATCAAACGGTGTCTTGCCAAACGCCTAACCAATGAGTTGATGGATTTATACGTTTAATACGCGAACATCTCCGCTATTCCATATAAGTCTATGGTGAGTCCACCACAACGCCTTTCACTTTAGTATGCAATTGATTTTCGCAATAATTTCCATCCCACGGGACTTGTTAAGCGATGCTTTTTTCCCGTAATAAACCATTGTTCCATTGTACTCATAGGTGATTTCAAGTGCCCTCGAATATGCTGACCTGAAATTCAACATCACCCGTTATTGTGAGGCCGAAGGAAAGTTAGTTGATATTGAAATTGAAACTTGGACGACACAATAGATCTGTTAACCGGCGATCGTAACACCGCACTGGACTGCCCAGTGTTTATTCCTAATTCTAACAAGCTGTGAACAACCTGCGTATGACATTCGAGTACTGGAGCCTGTGGCAGCAAGCCACCACTCAGTTCTTATTGCCAACATGGAATTGCCCGCTGCGGCGACCCCACGCCCCTCAGTCAGCTTACAAATACTGGAAGACGGATTTCGATGGACTAACTCGAACTACGATCTGCTGAAATCTGCATCAGTTGAAGCTTAATAGTCAGTTATAAAGAATGTGATAAACTCATTGTGCAACCGAATTGTGCCTCTGAACTGTTGGTACTTGGGACCGGTCGGGCTACATTGGCTCGACAAGGAATATGGTAGGCTGGCACGGCGACCACGCAGACTGCGGGAACAATTCCTTATCTGCGATTCTCTCTACAACTACGAAGTGAGTAAAAACTGTTAAACATTTGCAGCAGTGCAAAAACAAGCAACTGCCGGTGTGTTAAAAACGGCTTGCAACCTTTGCGTACGTGAAGCGACACCTGTGGGTGACAAGTAACCTACCATGATAGAGGACGCGAACCGACAGGCCCTAACCTCCAGCACTGTGCCTGCGTCTGCCTTGGTGGCGCCCTTTGCTTCGGTGTTTGCAGGTGGCCAGGTGTTTGTACCCAGTTCGACGTGTACCGCTCTTACCTAGATCGACAGTCTGGTTTGCATTGCTGAAGTGGTGCGTCAACTGCTTGCCAACTTTACAGCACCAAGCCTGCTGGTCCTGACGGGCTCCACCCACTGAGTCTCAAATCCTTATCCGCCATTAGCTCGCTTGATATGACCGACTTATTGAACAAGTCGCTGCCCGAAGGT